CCTGTAGTCCCAGCTACTTGGGAGGCTGAGGCAGGAGACTCGCCTGAACCCAGGAGTTGGAGGTTGCTGTGAGCGTGATGCCATGGCACTCCACCCAGGGGTATAGCTTGAGGCTCCGTCTCAAAAAAAAAAAAAAAAAAAAAGAAAGTCTTTGGGATAAATCTGCAGTAGGGGGAAGGATGGAGAACTAAAGCTACGGGAAGGGCCAGGGATTCAGGGGAGAAATCTTACAGGGCATGGTGTTTCTGTAACAAGAGGAAGACGAAGGCAGGCAGAGGGGTGGGAGGTGAAAAGGTACTGCGGGGGGAGAGGACCCGGCACGTGAAGATATGCCCCATGGGTGGGGAACGCATTGCTCAGTTTAGCTGGGGCTTAGAGTCAGGAAGTGGACAGAACCGAGGGGTGGGGCCTTGTGGGGGGTGTGCCCAGGCCCCCTCAGGTCTGCTGTGAAAGCAGTGGGACAGTGAGAGCCATGGGAGGGTCTGGCAGGAGAGTGGTGACGCCTACACTTCCCTGCTGTAGCAGAGGTGGCACTAGAGAGGGAATGTGACCTGGAGGGTCATGATGGTGGCTCTGAGCAGTGCAGCATCAAGAGGCTAGGTGGGATCTTCCAGGATTTTGCAGATAGACTTAACAGCACTGTGAAGTTAATTCAGTGACTGACCCAGGGATGATTCTAACCTCATCCCAGGGGACATCTGGCAGTGTGGGGACATTTTCAGTTGTTACAACTAGATGGGATAGGGTCGGTGCTAATGGCATCTGGTGGGTGGAGGCTATGCCACGGAAGCTTATAAACACCCTATAATGCTCAGGAGAGACCCCCACAGCAAAGAGCCATTTATCTGAGCCTAAATGTGGACAGTGCCAGCCTGAGCTGCCTGGCCTGGGTGAGAAGCAGTGATTCCACCCACTGGGATGGGAGATGGGGAGGAATAGTGGATTCCTAGAGAGGGAGGCACTGCTCTCTGAAATGCTTATCTGCAAACCTATCCACAGATGAGGAAACCGCGACAGAGAGATTGACTCTCTGGCCCACTGTAAGTGGCAGAACAGGGTCCAGAACCAGTGTGCCACGGTATACTGGTGTGCTATGAAGGATCTCAGGTGCACCTCAAAAATTTTTAAAGATCATTAATTGAATTATTTTTGAAAGAAGTTCAAAGCACAGTAAATATATTCTTCCTTTTATTCTTTTTTTTAATCAACGTAATTTAAGTGTGTCATGGAAGTTTAACTATAGGTTCAAGTGTGCCATAAAATTTAAAAAAGCTTGAAAAATACTGGTCTAGAGCCAGTGTCCTAGCTCCTGGGTCACTACTGCTATCCTTGCTCTGTCCTTCTATGACCTCCAGCCTGCAAGTCAAGAATCCTATGTCCCTGGACAGAAAGGGTTGGGAGGCCCACACAGCTCCATTCTGCAGGGCTCCAAAGCCCAAGGAGGGTAGAGAGGGTGGGGCAGTCCTTTCCATGTGTGGATTCCTGCCCCCTCCTGGGTGGCATTTCCCAGGCACTGACATCCAGCTACACCTCTGAGAAACAGCTTGTCCTCCTCTCAAGGCCTCAATTCCATCCTCCACCCTGCAAGCACAGGAGACATGCTAAAGGACCTCTTCCTGTTTGTTCAACAAAAGCCAACAATGTGCCAGCCACATCCTAAGTGCCTTACACTTATTAGCTCATTGAATCATCACAATCACCCTGGAGGGCAGGTGCTGTTATTATCCCCACTTTATAGATGAGGACATGAGGCACAGAGAGGTTAAACTTAGGCAAGATCACACAGCTTGTGTGTATAATGGTGGAGCCAGGGTCTGACCCTGGGCAGTCTAGCTTCAAAGTCTAGGCTTTCAACCTGTCACACTACCTTTCCAATGTGCTGAGGCATAAATCTGCCATATCCCCACCCAGGGCTGGGGTGTATAACAGGAAACAAGAGTCCCCATGCATACTGTCCAAGGGAAGTTCTAGGAGCCAGCCTGGTCCTCAACCAGCTGTACCTTCACTCTGGAACCAACCCTGACTTCTCCTACCCTCAGATCAATGGAGGGACATACCTGCCCCTCTTCAGCTGTGGGGCTTCACTGCCCAGGTGAGGATCATGTAGGGCCCTTCTGCACGGGAGCAGCCAGAATCACAAGGGCTGCTTCCCAGAAACTCTCTGAGGGGTGCCCAGGGGATAGCGGCAGCCAAAGAGCCACCTGGCCACTGCCTGGGAGCTGCCAAACTCGAATGTGACCTACTCAGGGCTCTGACTTGGGGAGGCTCCAAGCACGTCCCCTCCCAGTCCTGCCTGGCCCATCTGACCAGCTTGTTGGCAGCACACAAGGGAAGGTGGATGGACAACAACTAAGAGCTCAAGTCCAGCAGACCCTGAATTTTCTCCTGAGGAAAGCCCACCCAGGAAGGTGCAGGAGAGAGAAAACGTCAACGCTAATGCTCTGAAACAGAAGAAAAGACCCCCAAGGGTTCATCTCCAGCCTACCAGCTCCCATGGGTGAGGGGGGCTTCAGACAGGCTACACTGGGAAGCTGAAGACCAAAGGCATCCCCAGATTCCTCTTTCCAGGAGAGAGTGTGGCCAGCTGGTTTTGCTGTCACCTTTTCTGGAACCCTCTAGATTCTGACATGTCATGACTGTGATGAGGGCTTTGAGCCACTGTTAGTACCTGTCACTCCCAATAACACAGCACACTCAACCTGCCAGGCCTGTGTGGGTGACAGTGGGGCAAGACCACCTGAGACTGCCAGCCCCCACCTGCTGTTCTCAGGTGTCTGCTCCTTCAAAACCAGCCCCACACCCTGGGAGGGAAGCAGGAACTTCAGAATCAAGCTCAAAGTTCACTCCTTGCCCTGGATGCACCACCTTTTACTACCCCTGCCTGGAAATTTCTGCTATGTGGGATCAGACAGCATAGGAAGTGGCTCACCTCATCCCTACATGCCAGGGGGCGGGAAGCTCATGTCCTAGGCTCCAGGGAGCTGGGCCATCCCTTTCCTCTGTGCCGCTCCTCCTTGGGAAACCATGAGTTCGGAAAAACCAGAACCCAGAGAAGGGGCCAGCTAGGAAGAGAAGTGCCATGTGGAGGGAACAAGCAGCAGGACAGAAGGAGTCTCCAGCACCAAGGAGGTGCTGGAAGGAAGCCCACCAGCCTAGATATGCAGGGGACCATGGTGGCAGCCAGGAACCTGGGTTCAAGCCCTGGGCTCTATTCCTTCACTTGCTTTGTGAACCTTTCTTTGGCCCTTCTTTGCTCTGTTTTCCCAGCAAAACTTCTCCAAGGCATGATTGCTTACTTAAAACCCCCAGTGAGTGTTGGTTCAAATGCAGATTTTCAAGCCTGACCCCAAAGAAACCAACTGTAGGCCTGGGGTCCCACAAGAAGGATCTCAACTACGTTTGGTAAGACCCTCTTGTGGGGAGCAATGATGTAGGTTAGCAGGGAGAAGCGGGAAGGCCCTGAGGTAGGTATGGATAAGGGGTGTCATCCCAGGGAGAACCCGGGGCCACACGCAACCCACTCTGACTGGAGCTCCCTCTGAGAGACGCCAGCAGGTGCTTCACCTCCTGGCTCGGGTGGCCAGCACTAAGGGCATTAAGGCCATCCCAGGCGGCGTGACACTCTGCTTCCCACCTCTCATTTCTCTTTTCTGTTTTTCTTCTAGAATTCTAACACACATGCGCGCACGCACACACACACCCTTTTTTCTCCTCCTTTTCACCTATTTCGGGAGATTTGGGGAGTTCCTGTTCTGCCCCAGCACTTTCTGTGACAATCTGTCAGGGGGGACTGCGCTCTCCAGACATCTACTCCTGGGCCTGTCCATGCAGTGCCCAGCTCTGTCAGCATTACTCGTGACAGGGAGGACACTGCCCCATAGTCCAAGTCGGCAGAGCCACCCTGCCCAGTCCTTAGGAGGCAAACTCCTCTGGGACGTTGAAGGAGTCCATGAGCTTTGTAACCTAAGCCAGCTCCAGACGGGGCCCTGCCGGCAGGTGAGAGCACAGGTTTTGAGCCCTGATGCTTCCCAGCTGGGAGACCTTGAGCAAGATACAACTCTGTGCCTCAGTTTCCTCATCTGCAAACAGGGTGATAATAAAACTAACGTGTATACTGACCACTTACTCTGTGCGGGCTCTGTTCTAAGTTCTTTACCACGTGGACCCGTTTAGCCTTACTCTGTCCCTACAACGTAGACAGCCCCCCTCCATTTCCCCATTTTACAGATGTGGACACCAAGGCAGGAAGAAGTTGAGAAACTTGCCTCAGGCTTCTTCACAGTTAGTCATTAGAGTAATTTTCACTCTGGCCTCAGAGTCCAGGTTCATAATCACTGTATACCTACACCTCAGACAGCCAGTGGACAATTAAATGAGCCACTGGGCCACTGAAGTGGTAGCAGTTATTGCTATCATTGTTTGCCTAACCTTCTTTTTCTTCCAAAGTAGGGTTTCCAGGCAGGATGAACCAGGGAAATGTACCCATTCTTGGTGGGTGTCATCAGAACAGCTCGGAACTACATGGGATGCAGCTCAAGAGAGAATATTCCTCGTTCCCTGCTCTCCTGTACTTGAACCAAAATAGCAAATCTAGGACCACACTTCTCAGGTCTCCATGTTGTGGACTGTGGGGGCACCAATGTCCAGACACCACCCTTCCCCAGCACAGGGCGGAGGAGGGAATGTGGGGGAGGGGCTCCTGTGCCTGCACATGGGACTTGGCGGGCATTTCGAAGAGCCTCAGGAGGCAGGCTGGCCACTCATGCAGAAGCTGCCTGCTTCTCATCAGGAACTCCCAGGAACTCTATTCTTAGGGTGTTCTCTTGCTTTTAACTTTGCCATCTTGCAGAAGTTACCCTGCACAAAAGCAACCCTGCCATGGCTGTAATTTACATGTCACGTCACTTGCACTGAGCACAGTCCACCCCCTTCAACCCACACCCGCACGCGCACCTTCCCCTGCCCTCCCTGCAAAAATGGCTTCTGCATCTTCCCAACCACTCTCCTTCCACTTGTTTGGGAGATAAAAAGTGAAATGTGAAATTGACATAAGAAGGGGAGGTGATGGAAGGGGGGACGGGGGACTTCAGCTGAATCTAAGCTTTGGAACTTCCCCACTTCCAGGCTGAGCATCACTTCTACTTGGTGGTCCACATCGCCATGGCAACAGCCCCATCACTGTGGCCAAATGCCCCAGCTGGCTGCCCTACCTGGAGCCCCCCCACACACCCCGGAGCTACTTACTGTGATGGTGCTTTCCTTGCTCTGCTTTTTGCTTGGTGACGAGGATCCCAGGTTCTGAGGAGAGAGGCAAGAAACATCATCACAGCTGCTCTCCATGTTAGACATATTTCCCCCCCATTCAGGTTCCCTGAGGGGGAGGTTTTGGTTTAAAGCTCTCTGTGCCGCTAACTCCTAAGGCACCATATTCTGGCCCGGAGCAGGTGACAGTGATCCGGACCCCACGCTGCTCCCATGCCTGGCGCTAGGGCTGGAAACTGCACAAGCTCTGAGAGACCTGCTCCAAGCCAGGTCTCCCTCCTCTTCTCTCCGTCTGTGATTTGGGAGTTAACCCCTCCGCTGCCCTCTGCTGGTACACGTTCCCCATGCTTCCTGCTGCCTGGAGCAGTGGAATCCGCTGGGGAGCAGAGAGTTAAGGTCGGCCACCACCCCCTGGCTCTGAGGACTCAACACATGACATTTTATTCTGAAAGCCCCAGGTCCAAGACATCCAACTCTAAATACACGTAGACGTGCACGCTGGGGCACTGCTCAGCCCCTCCCTGCCTTGCTGCTCTCCCCGCCCTGGGAGCCAGCAGGGATTTCCCAGCCAGGCTGTCTCAGCTTCCACTCAGTCTTTAGATTGCCTTTTCGTGTCTTCCCTATTGCCAGCAAGAAAACCAGAGTCCTGAGTACCTCTGAGCTCTCAGGTCCTCGGCAGCTTGCCAGAGTCCTGGGATTGTTCTGATAGAGAAAATGAAAGACCAACAGCTGAAAACACCACACCTGACCTAAGAGCCTATGGCCCTAGAAGAATGCTCAGTTTTGGGTCCTCCTTGTTCTATTAGCAGTTATGGTAGGGATTCAATACCAGAGGTCCCTGAATAGGACCTGGGGTGTCTCCTGTCCTGAGCCCCCCACCATGACCTGGGAAGCAGGCAGACCCTAAGGCACTGAGGGTGGCCATCCCACGTGTGCCCCTGGACTTATGCATGGTGTTGCTCCTTCCTTAGTAGAACATAAGGAAGAGGTCACCCCTTTATAAAGGTCAGAAAAAGCATGGAGGGGCTTCTTCAGTGAGCCTCAGCAGAAGCAGCACCCCTCCCCCGAAGGTCAGCACAGCCCTGGACAACTGGCGGGGTGAGCACAGGCAGGCAGGAGACAGTCCCTGCATCAGGAGCCCATCTGCGAATGAGGCTAAACAGAAAGCTCTACTGAGCCCCTGCCATAGCCTCATTCTCTTGCTCCCATACAGCCCTACTTGGGCTGGTGAGTTAAGTTAAATCACCAAGACCTATAGTCTTATCAACAAGGAACCTTGCAGAGCATCCACTTCACAGACAAGAAAATGATTACTAGCCTTGAGACCCTGGCCAGAGAATTTGACTTCTCTGACCCTCAGTTTCACCATCTGTAAAATGGATCCTCACTGGTCCTCAAGCTTTGTGGTGCATCAGAATCAACTGAGGAAAGTGCCCCAAATATTAACGGAGCTCCAGCTGGACCAGGCCTAGTGCCTCCAATGTAGAATCTGAAGACCTCACTCAGGCAATCTCATCCACTTTCTATTGTTATATTGAGGTGCCTCTACTTATGGCTGCTCCTCCAGGGACCCCCGACAGGCTCTGGGGAAACACCAAGCTTGTGGCCAACTACATCTTCCATAGACATTTTCAATGTATCGACTCATTCAGTCCCCAGTTCCCACCCAAGCTATCAGCTCTGCCCAGGGTACTTGCCAAAACTGCCCAGATTGGAAGGCAGACTGAGGCTGCAGGATAGGAGGTGCCAGTCACCAAGGAGAAAGACAAGCTCAGGCCTTTCTCCATAGGTTCCTTCAGGCAGAGACACTGGCCAAGCGAATACATGCCAGGAAGGGGGAAGGGTAGCCTTTGGCAGATTTATGCGGTCTGTAGGAGTCTCCCTGTCATGGAGAGACACGACCATCACCATCACTGTGTTCCACCATCACTCCCAGGGAGGGCAGCCAGTGCTGCAGCTGCCTTGGCAACAGCCTTCCAGGCCGCACATCGATGCTGATGACGACAGTGAGGAGGAGGAGAAGGAGGACTAAGAGGGAGGAAGCAGTGCAAGAGCTACTGTCTGCTGCACACTTGTTTAGCTAGCTGGCAGGCACCAGGCTAGCCATTTGACATACTCATTCCATCCTCCGGCCCCAGCAAGTCAAATGTCATCAACTTTGTTTTACTGATCGTGAAATTGAGGCTTGCAGAATTATGACCCTGGTCACTAGGCTAGTAAAGAGAGGAGTAGAGACTAGAACCCAAACCTACATCACTTTTTCCTCTATCTTCTGCCATCTCTCCACTTTGAGACCTGGGACAATATCTTGTTTTCCAGGTGTTTTTGCAAGTGTAGCAGAAAAAAGAAGTCCACGATCCACACACACAGATTTGAGGACCACTGTGTACAAAGCTCTGTAGAATGAGGCTGGACATGAAGGTCACATGTCCTCCCTATGAATACAAGTGATGGCATTGAGGGTGAGTGTTCTGTCTGTGGGCAACTGCAATTGGTAGAGACCAGGGTAGGTCACAAGCAATCTCAGACTCTGTGGGTGCTGCTGACAACCTGTGCCTGTTACTCTAATTTTATATACATACATAACACACATTATATAAATACACACACATACACACCCTCATCATAGCACCCCACTGAAAGGGCCCAAAAGGAATGATACCTCATCACAGTTATAATACCTACTAGGTATAAAGTGGTTTCTAAATACCATTTGGCATTAAAAGGTTATCTAGTCTCCTCGGAGCTAATTCTAAATGCAAAATAGACTTGAATATCCTATTGCTCTGAGATGTTAATAAAGTATTCAAAGAATGATGGACAAATAACAAAGGACACAGCTTAAAAGGGGCTCCCATGTGCTAAACTTGGGACAATTTGAGCACAAGTATGAATAATGACAACTAATGAATTCTGAAGGGGAAAGGAGGAAACATTTCTTACAAAGGAATGCCACTAAAAAATACACAATTAATTAGGAAATCACCATTTGCAAACCCCAATGTGAAAAGGATTCAGGCTGTGCTCTTCATGGGTGCTGAAAACACTGAATGAAAGGATTGCTTGGGAACAGGTTATTCCCAGGGCCTCACACCGCCTTACAGATTATTAACTAGTCATAAGGGGAAATGTATACCGTGGCAAAGGAGCAATCTGGCAGCCACCACATAAACCAAGAGCACAGACTAAGCCGGGCAGGAGGGCGCTAACCTAGGTGGGTGTGCCTCCCAGTAAAATGCAGTAAGTACTCAACATGCCTTGTGCAGTTCTTGCCAACACCACTTCCCCTACATCTAAGTAGAAAAAAACAATTCTATTAAGAATATAGGTCATTCTATAAGATAATTGACCTGGGCTCGTAAAAAAGAAATGAATTAAAAGTCAACATGGGGAAAAACAAAAGAAAAAGAAATGTGTGAAGGACTGGATCATGATAAAAGGAGACCAAAGCAATGACTTCGATGAAATGATCTATCTACGGAACAGAATATTCAGCCCTAAAGGAAACGGAGTACTGATCCATGCCACAGCATGGAAGAACCCTGGAAACAATCTCAGTGAAAGAAGCCAGGCGCAAAGGACCACACAGAGCATGAATCCATTTGTATGAAATTTCCAGAATAGACAACCACATAGAGATAGAAAGTAGAATTAGAACAGTGATTGCCCAAGGCTTGGGGAATTCTTCTTGGGGTGATGAAAATGTTCTAAAATTGACTGTGATGATGGTTGCACAACTCTGTGAATACACTGAAAACCACTGAATTGTACGTTTTAACGGGATGAATGGTTGTATGAATTATATCTCAATAAAAGAGTTTTAAATGAAAAGAGAAAGGCAGACTAAAGAGACACAGTGACCAATGTACCCATGTGTGAACTTGAACGGATTCTGGATTGGGGAGAAAAGCAACCATAAAAGGCATTTTGGAAAAAATTAGGGAAAATGAGTATGGACTACCTACGCTAGGTGATATAAAATTAATGTTTTCTTAAGTATTGTAATTGTATTGTGATTTTATCTTCCTTCTTAGAAATGCATTCTGAAACATTTATTTGCATTTAAAACAGTAAGTTAGGAATTTGCTTTACAATAGTCTGGAGGTGGTGGGATTAGGAAGAGGGAGATGGGAGCACAACTCAGATGAGACTGGCTGAAAGCAGGTGATTGTTGGGCTTGAATAATGTTTTATTACAGCATTCCCTCTGCCTCTGTAAAGGTTTGCAAATGCCTATAAGAAAAGAATTTTTAAAAAAATTTCCTTTGCCTATGATTCCAGATAATTCTTCTCCTCTGTTTCCTCCCCCACCTCACCCCCGCTTCCTTCCTTTCTTTTTAGACAAAGTCTCACTTTGGTGTCATAGTTCACAGCAACCTCAAACTCTTGGACTCAAGTGGTCTTGTTGCCTCAGCCTCTTGAGTAGCTGGGATTACAGGTGCACACTACAAAGCCCAGCTCGTTTTTCTATTTTTAGTAGAGACGGGTTTCCTTTTTGCTAAGGCAGGTCTTGAACTCCTGAGTTCAAGGGATTCTTCTGTTTTGACCTCCCAGACTGACAGAATTACAAGTGTGAGCCACCATGCCTGGCCCTTTATTTCTTAAAACCCTCCCCAGCCTAGTGTCCTGACCCCACCTGGGCAGCTTTGCTGTCACCCAGAGGACTGGCAGAGGGTGGCACCACATAGGAGGTACTGCGTGGCAGGTCGTTCACAAGTGATTCAGCAATTGTGCTCTCCAAATGTCTGCCTGGCCCTCTTCCTCTCCCTGAAAATAATCTTCTGGGTCCCATCTCTTTGGCAGGTAGGATCGTGTATGAAACCCCTCAATGGTTTTTCAGCACTGTCAGGATAAAACCCGAGCTCCTCACGAAAGGCCTGTGCACACGCCCCTTTCTTTCTCCTCTTCCCCCTACACCTGCTGGTTTAGCGAGCCACGCAGCTCTCAGCCTCAGTGCATTCTTCAGGAACACAACTTCCTGCCTCTAGCATCCATGTGTGCTGTTTCCTCCACCTGGAATGCTTTTCTTCCCCCACCTCTCTGCCACACTAAAGCCTTGCTCACCCTTCTGATCTCAGAATGAGTGTCTTTGATCAAGGAGTCTATTCCTGACATTGCCACCACCAGGCTACGTCCTCACGGCACTTGCTTCCTCCAGCCCTTACCACTGTCAAAAGTACATAACTTCATTTCATGCCTTTCTCCCACAACAGCTGAGACCTCCACCAGAGCAGGGGCTATGTCTGCCTACATTTCAGTGCCTGGCAAAGACAGAAATGCTCAATAGGAAGTGTGTTATTGAATAAGGGAGTTACCGTGTTTTCCTGAAAATAAGACCTACCCCCCAAATAAGCCATAGCAGGATTTCTATGCATTTGTTAAATATAAGCCCTACCCAGATAAGACCTACTGATGGGCGTGGCTATGCATAGAGTATCTGCATAGCCACGCCATGCATTTCGGCACAGAGAGGAAGACATCCCCTGAAAATAAGCCCTAGTGTGTCTTCTTGAAAAAAAAATAAATATAAGACAGTGTCTTATTTTCGGGAAACACGGCAGATGGTAGGGCATTTGGCATCTTGGCTTTTTTCTCCACTTTAAATTCCTTTCTTCAATGGGTCCCTTAAGCTTCCAAGCCCTTAGTCCCATTCTCTTTCCTCTCTCCTATGCCTAGAGAGTCTTCCTGGGAGACGATCATGGGAAGTCAGAACATTGAAAAGTAGATTACCAAAGGTGGATTATTGGTGGGCAGGAAGGAAAGGGACCAGCTAGAAAGTCCTTCTGCCAAGGCCAACAAGACTATTAGCCTTTGCTCCCTCTGACCAGGTGGGTTCCATTTATCCAGTACCCAGGTAGCCAACCCGGGGCTGCAGAACTGAAATGCTCCACTGGGTGGCACTAGACCACCACCGCTAGCACCCACCCATCCAGGTCTGGTGTGGGTAGACAACAGAGGGAGCAGGTGCCCTCAGGAACTGTTGGGCACCCAGTTGTCAGCCACAATGGGGCATGATGGGGACATACTCCCAGTTTCCATTAAAATTAGGACTGTCCTCTGCTTCCCCCAACATTCTAATGCTTGCTGGAGGAGGGAAGTAGTTAGTAGGTAGCTGGATGAGAACACAATAGAGCCTTTCTGATCTGGAGTTTTTCAGTCTGTGTCTGTCATTGTCACCTCAAACAAGTCACTTTTTATACCCCACTCCCTGCATCTCAAATGTGTTCGTTTGCTCATTCATTCATTCATTGTACAGCATTCACAGTACAGGAATGCTGTGTGTACTTAGGGATCCTTTGTTGGTTGTACTCTATGTGAATACCAAAACCTTCTTAACCTATCTCTATGTTTGCCCTTGGGCACCTTTTTTTGAGAACTAGCTCTGTAAGTTCACAAACTAGGATAAAAAGGAGTAGCTTTTGTATCCAAATGTTCACCTTTCACAGCCTAAAAGAGTAACATTGTACACCTTACAGTCCTGGGATCTGGTGAACAAATCCATCCTTGTCCTCTCTGGATACTGCAGTATTTATTTTTGTTTCCTTGATGAATCTCAACTCTCAAGGTTATCAACAGAAATGAATATTACTCAAATCCACCTGTCTTTAGGCAGTCACTGTCTCCCCAGGCCTGGGTCTCTAAAGCTGGCCTTCCCTGAAGACCAGTACCTCCCCTCTAGCTTTTATTTTTTTAATTAAAAAATTGTATCTGACTTCTATAAAAGTGAAATGTGCTCATTTTCTGTGAAAAATCGTGACGAGCGTAAAGAAAATAAAGCTATCCATAATCTTAGACCAAGTTTCTCGGCCTCAGCATAATCCTTATTTTCAAACTGGATAATTCTTTTTGGTGTGCTGTGCACTACGGGTACGTAGCAACATGCCAAGTGTCTATCCGCCCATTGCCAGCACTCCCTTCCCCAGCTGTGAGGATGAAAATGTCTCCAGATTTTTCTAAATGTCCCCTGATTGAGAAGCACAGTCTGAGATGCAGACAGAAGCACCACAAAGGCTCTGGCTTATTTTTCTTCCAGGCATTTTTCTTCACCTAAGGATAGATTTGCTTCACCCAAATAAGCCTGACTACATATATAGTTTGTGTTCTGCTTTTCCTGCTCAATATTATGTTGTGAGCATTTCCCCAAGTCATTAAGTTTTCTTCAGAAGAATGTTTTTTAATGGCTGTGCAGTAACACTGGCTGTCCAGGGCCATAATCCATTTACCCATTCCCTGTTGCCGGACAGCTACGTTGGGACTGACGTTATGGTGCTGTAAATAATGCCTGAGTGAGCAGCCTTCACATAAATCAGAATCTCTGAATATATCCCAAGAATGGAGGCTGGAATAAAAATTCCTATGTTGATGGCTTCTAACACACACTTGTTAAATCTGCTTCTGAGATATAAGTTAGACCAGTATATATATTTTTAAATGTATGAGCAATAACTTCATAGTATTTCTTGGGGCCGAGGGGTCATGTTCTATCAGGGAAGGAAGAACCATTTTGAAGTTACATTGCTGACACTAATATTCTTCCTAATAATCTCTAGAGTGGCACAAGTTTTTTTTATTGTTGTTAAACCACAGCAGAACTTACGTCCTCAGAAACACTCTCAAGTCAGGTGGTAAGTTTCACTGCAAACGATTGACAGAAGCTTAGTTGAGGATGCTATTTGGAGCTCAGCAAGAAACATACAAGCCAGGATGATGGGTGACATGGGCAGAGGAGAGAAGGGGACAAACAAACCTAGCATGTACTATTGACTGTCCCTTTCCTAGGCACGTTCTCCAGCCCAGCAGCACCAGTGTCACCTCGGGGCTGGCTGGAAACACACCACCACAGGACCCCTAGACCTGCTGGATTTTAACAAGAGTCCCAGGTGACTCACCAATGTTTAAGAAGTCTTGACCTACACTGATGTCCAATTTCTCTTCTAGAGTTATTTGAACTGAATCTGAACATGACACTCAGCCCCCTAAGAGAACAGCTTCATAACATTTCCAAAAGTTAACACTCTCCTGTATTAAAACTGACTGTCACAGTTCAGCCTATGGTGGTAACAAATCAATGGGTCTTTATTTCAGTGACTGGTCCTTAGGACCACCCCCCTGCATAATAAGCTATTGTTACCATCAACATCAGCAATATCAGCATGATTATCATCAATTATCGTTGATCGGTGCTATCACTGTCATTGTCACCTGGAGGTCTGGCATTTCAATTCCTGGAAATGGCTGGTGGAGTTTGGAGGCTTTATTTACAAATAACATCTTCTTGATCATGTGTAGGGAGACTAAGTAACACTAGTCCTCAGTCTCTTAGGCAAAGCTCAATGCAAGTGGAGAAGACAGGGGACTTGGCATCCAGGTCTGGTCTGACCACTGAGTAATCAAGTGGCCTGCACAAGTCACTTAACCGATCTGAGCCTCAGTGACCACATGCACACCATGGAGACAGGACCACACCCCCCTCACTGTTTGCACAACAGCCGACTAGGGACCAAGAAAGCAGTTTGGGAATCTGAACCATATTCCCATTTCTTTTCACCCCCTAGCTGTCTCTATGCTAGTTTGTCAAATGAGATTAGCAAATTTTATTAAATTCTATTCTGGGTAAAATCTGGGGGTGGGAGAGTAGGGTAGAGAAAAGGAGAATGGCCTGGCACACCCATACTCTGAAAGCGATGGGAAACCTAGACTGCCCATATCAGGATCTGCATCTGGACAGCAGATCAGACCTTTCTGCCCTAGCAGTTTACAACTTCATCATCATCAGCCCCTCCATCAAACCACCCTCAACTTCTAGAAAACCAACAAATCAAAACCATCCAATCCTCTCCCCATCAGGGACCAAGGGAACAACCCAGATCCACCAAGTACTTTGTACTTGGGGGCAGAACTGGGCTGGAGCCACCTGGATTCCCATGATGGATGCTTCTTCCTGGGCCTACATAAGCAGTCACCCCTACCTCCCTGAGTGGGGCCCCTTACCTGGGAATCACCGGTGGATTTTCGGAGACTCATGTGCGCAGTCTCTGGAGGGTGCGCTGGGGTCCCTGACGCGTGGTATCCATTCACTGCAGGGACAGAGACACGGCTCAGATGCTGTGTGGGCCCCAGATGGGCACCCCCGACCTTGGGCCACTGCAGCCCCTTCTCCTACCTCCTTCCCTGGTTCTAAGTAAAGTCTTGCATGCCTAGGGCTGGCCCACAGGACCTTATCAGTGTCTGTCTGCAGAACTAGAAATGGGTTGAAAGCATCTCTCTAATCCTCAGCACTCAAATCACTGAATTCTCAGAGGAATCGGTTCCTTCTTGAGCCCAAGGGCAAAAGGAATGTTCTCAACAGAAGGTGAGGTCACTACAGTCCAGTCACTGCCATTGCTGCAGATACAGCATGAGTTAATAGTTCCAGGTGCTGATCCAAGGCGCATGATCTCTGTCCATACACCTGTGCCACTTGACTACAATCCCTTCCATCTCTCTCTGAGGACTTTTGCATCCTCAAACTCAAAGCAGTGTAATGTGGGTGTAGTGGAAAGATGACTGGATTTATTGGTCGCCATGAAATTAGGCTCTCTTAGTTAATAGTCAAATGATCATTCTTGAGTCACAGATTTCCTAACATTAAAAAAATAATAATCAGAGGCATTAAAATTCTGTCCCAATAATATTGTATCTCTCAGAGGACACTCATTCATGCTCCCAATGTTTGCTGATCAATCTCCTCCCCAAGGGCAGGGGGGAGCCCTGATTTGTAGTGTCTGCTGACTTCTGTGCCATAAATATTCCCACCTGGCTGAATTCAAACCCTCCATACTGCTGTATGTTCCTGACACCATGAATTCACACCAGAACCCCAGGAATCTCAGTTCCCAGAGATGGTGCTGCTTTAGGGGAAACTTAGCTGGTGGTTTCTCCTCAGTGAGCCTCAGCTTCTGTAAGTATGAAAGGCGATAATTCTACCTAGTCTTCCAGCCTACTTTGTTAGTCTGACAAGGTGTTAATTGCAAAACGGATCTGTAAATTACCAAGAACTTTGTTAAAAAAAAAAAAAAAGGGAAAGTCATAGAAGAGAGTGTCACCACTTTTGTTCCTAAATTGGGTCCCCATGAACCACAAGCCTGCACAATCTCTGGAGATCAGGGAAGCATGCCCTCCTCCTCAAGCCCAGGCTTGGAGGAATCGCCAGTGTAAGTCAAACTGGAGGACAGTACACAGACTGATGTCCAACTCATGATTCTTCTGGAAAAAACTTCGCAGTATGGTGAGAAGCAAAGGAGAAAATGGCACCAAATTACCAACACCTACTAATTTGGAGTGGCCAGAGCTGGAAGTGTGCAACGGACAATAGCTGATGAAGACCACTGTATGGAGAATGTTTTTCATGCTGGGGGATGCACCCCATTCTCCATGCTTGAAGCAAAAGTCCTAGGCCATCTGTAAGCAGAACCATACTTGACAGAGTGCCTGTGGGCCTCTCTCTGACCTGGAAGGTTTGTCCTCTACTCCAGAAGAAGGTAGGAACACACTTGTTACCAAGAAAACAGAAAACTCAATCCAGAGCAGCACCTACTACAGTGGTTTGGGGAAAGAATGAAGAATAACAAATTCCAGGCATAGTGGCTCACACCTATAATCTTAGCACTGGGAGGCTGAGGCTCAGACTGCCTGAGCTCATGAGTTTGAGACCAGCCTGAGTCAGAGAAAGACCTTGTCTCTAAAAAAAAAAAAAAAAAAAGCTAGGTGTTAAATGGGCACCTGTAGTCCCAGCTACTAGGGAGGCTGAGGCAAGAGAATCACTTGAGCCCAAGAATTTGAGGTTGCTGTGAGCTATGATGCTATGGCACTCTACTGAGGATGACCAAATGAGATTCTGTCTCAAAAAAACAAACAAATTACCCCTGCAGGGACAGCTATAGGCCTGATCCACACCCATAGCCCTCAGGCCGCTGGCCAGGTGCTTTTAACATCCACTCAATAAAATAGGGACATTTGCACTAGATTGTTTATCACAGCTCAATTTATAATCGCCAAGAAGTGGAAACAACCTAAATGCCCATCAACCCAGGAATAGATTAACAAACTGTGGCATATTTATACCATGGAATACTATTCATCAGTTAAAAAAATGGAGACTTTACATCTTTTGTATTAACCTGGATGGAGGTGAAACACATTTCATCTCAGTAAAGTATCACTAGAATGGAAAAGCAAATATCCAATGTACTCAACATTAATATAAAGCCAGTATGAGATCTAATTAATGCCCATGTAGAAGAATAACTCATTCCAACTTAAGTTAGGGGGAAGGGGAACAAAGTGGGGGGAGAGGGTAGGGTGGGGTGCTCCCACCGAATGGGCACAATGTAGAGGTGTATAGCACACCTTTTGGGTGCAGGACATAGCTACAAGAGGGACTCTATCTAACAAATTCAAATATTGTGATTTGGTTGTTTGTACCCTCACATTGATCTAAAATTTTTTTTAAAGGCAGCTTAAAAGGGAAGTCCACAGTTCCAACAGCATCAGGGAGAATGCTTAGGGGACCAAGACAATCTACTCTGACTGGCATAAAGCTATGCCAGGAAAGGCATTAGACGGAAGATAAATATGCCCCACATATTTGATGCCCCACAATGAAGGCCTAACACTTGAGAAATATTATTTATTAAATGGCATAGTATTGAAATGAATAAAACACAAGTGCTAAGAAGTCTAAAGACAGCAAGAGAAAACCTCAGTACTCTGCATTCAGTTTAGAATGAACAGCTAAAAGTAAGGATAAAGAAAACCAGAATCATTAATTTGAAAGGCTGATTAAAACAGGTGTATTACAAAACATGCCCTATGATCAAAGATAAATTTTTTGGGGGTGGGGTGTCAGGAAGCCATTGACCATTTAAAAAGTTGGCCATTTTTAAGCCACAAATAAATGCCAATAAATAGTACAAGGCATAAATAACACAGGCCACAGTCTTTGACCAGAAAGCAATAAAAGTAGGTATGAATAATGCAAGGGTAAATATACAAGGTTCTCATCCTCCCAATTCCCAAATACTTGGAAATTTAAGAACATGCCCTCTTAAATCATCTCAGGTTAAAAAGGAATTTTAAACTGTAATTATATAATATTTAGAAAACAATAAAGAAGAACATATCAAAACAAATGGGATAAGGCCTGAATTATACTTGGAGGAAAATCCACAGCCTTAATTATTTCATTACCAAACCCAAAGGAACAAAAATAGCCTAAATATTCAACTTAAAATTTTAGGAAAAAATTTTAAAGGCTAATAAAATAAACCAAAAGAGAACCAGAGAAAGAAATAAAAATGTAGCAACAAAAATTAATGAGTTAGTAAACAGAATAATATTAGCAACCCAGTTCTGGTTAGAGGTGGAGGAGAGGGGGCTGGTAGAAATCACAACTATTAAAAAAAAATACAGATGAGTTCAGCGCCTGTAGCACAGTGGTTACAGCACCAGCCACATACACCAAGGTTGGAGGGATTGAACCCAGCCTGGGGCCAGTTAAACAACTGCAACAAAAAAATAGCCAGGCGTTGTGGGGGGTGCCCAACCACTTGGGAGGCTAAGGCAAGAGAATCGCTTAAGCCCAAGAGTTGGAGGTTGCTGTGAGCTGTGACACCACAGATCTCTACTGAGGATGACATAGTGAGAATCTGTCTCAAAAAAAAACCAAAAAACAGATGAACCGGTGTAATATATGACAGTGGAAGAGAACAAAAATGCTCAGAATTAGGGATCAGAAAGAAAACATAAGCACAACAAATGTAGTAGAGAATATTTTTAATGCAAGAGCATATGACTTATAATTCTTTGCTATTAAACACCAGACCTTGCATAAGACTCAAATTATCAAATGGTTTCTAGGGACACTAGAAACGGTAAAAGGAGTAAAACCTTTGAAAAATTAGCCTCCCTTCCCCACAAAGGCACCGGGCCCAGATGGTTTTATGGGTAAATTCTTTCATACTCTCAAGAAAGGAATACCCATACATAGAAACACATGGCAGGCTTCCTGGTCTATTTTACAAAGCCAACATGATCCTGATCCTAAAATTGAATAAAGACAATACAAAACTGAAACTGCAGTTCAGTATGACCAAGGAAATGAAACAACAAGCTTCACCTGGGCAGGTTATCAGTCTCTCTCGGAGGATGTGAGTCCTGTAAACCAAGGCAGCCCTGGCTCTTGAGAGTAGGGCTGTCCTGCGCACCCCTACTCCTGCCTCAGGACTGCCCCAGCACCTCCAAGTTCACACTCAACTCCTGCCCCCATCTTGCCCCCAGCACCCCACCCCCTGGCTCACAACAGCACAGAACTCTCTAATGCAGAAGCATTTTGCTCCTAATCCAATCCCTTGTTCCTAGTTCAGTTCTGGTCTGTCAGCTGTTGGCTAATTACTGCTCATGTCAAAGCAATTACTAATGAAGAAAAAATAATTTTCCATTTGACCATTTCACCCCACACAGCAGCCCTCCTCTGCCATCCTGTCCGCTGTGCTTCCCTTGAATACTCCCAGGCACATTCAGAACACTGATCAGCAGAGATCAGGGCACTTACGGCCTGCCAGGTCCTGGCAACCCTCACCCATGAGCATAATTCACTGGCATTCCCTGTCCCCTGGGCTCCCCAGTCACAAGTCAGCCACAAACAAATGAGGCCAGAAGTGGGTGCTGTGAGGCCCGTGGGCAGGGGTGGAAGGGACTGGAACTAGTCAGGCATCACTCATAACCACAAGGAAATATCATTTGGTTTGAACATACAAGAAAAAAAAAAAAAGAAAGAAAGAAAATGCCAAAGTTGGCTGTTTCTAATATTTAAAAAAAGGAACCGAAAGCTTTATCTTGTAACCTTAGTAGCTTCAGATATAAACACAGACATCCACACATTTCATTCCCCTATGGTCAGTCGGACAGACAGACAGGACCTGGGAGGAACACAATGAGAGAAGAGGGCAGATATTGGGGTGGAGGAGAAGGTCAGGATGGGAGAAGTTGAAGAAGACAGAGAAGGAAGGAGAATAAGAGAAGTTATTGAGAGGGACCA